AGAACAGTTATTCAGATGTTTAAGAGAAAAAGAGAGATGAAGAAACAGATAATGTGTTGGTTACATTTAGGGAAACAAGGTTGGGGCAATAGTACCAGCAGGAACTTGATTTTATTTCACCCCTGCCTCTGCTGACTCCACATTGTAACCTTCACATGTTCTCCTTCTTTGTCACAGATAAAATGACTGAAATCGATAAATCTAAGAAGCCAAAGAAGCCAAAGAGCATCATTTTGTGCAGCAGCACCGCTTGCTACCTCATCAAGCAGAGGATTGGAGAAGGAGGCTTTTCCAGTGTTGTCAGGGCTGTGAATTTGGGCACATCAGAGGAAGTGGCCATCAAGATAATAAAAGATGAAAAGAATGCTAAGAAAGAGGTAGAGTAGATTCAATCGTATGGAAGAATACATTACACATTTTCTTGCTGATGACTTGTTTATCAAAAGAAATGCTGATACCACGCTGTCACTGACACCAATAGAATTTTTCCTGTTTCCTCCACAGTTTGCGATGCTTAAAGTGCTGGAGGTTCTTGATCCAGTGAAAAGCAACCTGGTTCACTTCATTGAGAAGTTCCAATACAAAGATCAAACATGTCTGGTATTTGAAAAGCTGGATATGGACCTTCACAGCATGACCAAAATGCTGGGGAGGGGAATGACACTCCATGAAATCCGGCCGATAGCGTACCAGGTAACAATGATGTGGCTTTTTAATCAATCAATCATCAAGAAAAGACGTACTTGCTGAAGTAGCATAATTGTATTTATTCTTGATCTGTTGAAGCCTGCTCTTGGCTCAGTATCTATAACATTTTACATGGTTTCCTTTGTCTCTGCAGTTGCTCACAACTTTAAAAGCGCTGAAAAGCATTGGAGTGGTTCACTCACACCTTAAACCAGACAACATAATGGTGGTCGACCCTCATGCTACTCCCGTAAGAGTCAAACTAATTGACTTTGGCCTGTCGTCCAACATCCCGAGCAAACTCGGACAATTTTGTCAGCCTCTGGGTTACCGGTAAGTTCAATGTGCAAAGCTCATTGTTTAACATGTGTGTTATTGTTGTCAATGGCAATGTCCTAATATTCACTACACATGCAGAATTTAAAAATGTACTAAACAGCTCTTGTGATTCTTGTTTGTACACACAGTGCACCTGAAGTCAGCCTGGGCCTCCCCTTCTCTGAGGCCATAGACATGTGGGGTCTTGCCTGTGTGCTT